ATACGAGTATTTGTCTCAAAACCTTTCCACTCCCTGCATGTGGGCTTGTGTCAGTGCTGCCTTGTTTTAATGTTAAATTGCTCCCAGATGTCTTCCTCCATGCAGACCAACCTGGTGAGGAGCAAGATGAAAAACCCAGTAAAGTTCGTATTAAATAGCTAGCAGATGTCAAAGCTGAAGGTCAACAAGCTTATCTGTGTCTGAAGCAAAGGCAGATGGGAATCGGAATATGAACAGGACAAACAGAGTCAACAGAATTAGCCGAGTCATTGCCAATGGAAAAATTGGGCAACTAAGGACTCTACCTTTCAGAACACAAACAGGACATTTTACTTTATTTGAGGCACTGGAACAGGCTGCCCAGAGAAGCTCCAGATGTCCCATCCCTGCCAGTGTTCAAGGCCAGGTTGGATGGAGCTTCGAGCAAACTGGTCTAGTGGAAGGTGTCCCTGCCCATGACAGGGGGATTGGAACTAGATGAGATTTAAGGTCCCTTCCAATCCCAACCATTCTGTTATTCTACCAATATCTTTACAGCTTGCTGTGGGCTTCTATTCTTCTGAGAATTATTTTCCAAATTTTTTCTATTGTATCATGTATTAGCCAAGTACATTTCACCATGGTCAAGGATACTATTTAAATATAGATTTTGTTTGCACTCCAGCGTCAATAGATTCTATACTGTTACCTGTAAAAGTACACTTCAGTGTTTCCACTAGTACTAAATGTCAAGAAACTGGACAGTGAAATTGCTTCTTCATAAACAAGAATGCTCACCCTAACTGTAACTGCTGATGTCCCAGCAGTTACCATGTATTGCATTTTACCTGGGGTTCCAGACAAAGCAGCTTGAGCTCCTGTCAAAGTCAAGAGGCCACCTTCTTTCAGATGTTTTGTGGCTAGGTGGCTGGAAATAGTCGATGTCCAAACACTCTGCTTCCACATCAGATCACAGTTTTTGTATAAAGCTGATTAGGAAGAGAATTAGTAAAATCAATTAAAAGTTAGAAGACTTCTAACTCTAATTTCTTTACTGTCAGAATACAACAGGAAACATGCTTTCTACTATTTTCTACTTCCACATTGGCTAAAATACCAATTTATGTCCTTTGTATCTCCCTTTTCTTTAGGCTCCAAGTCCCAACTCTACAACATACATTCTAGGCAGTTACCTACTTTTTCACCACCACAAATAAAAAGCAAACTCACACAAAACAGTTCCATTAGCTCTCCATTAATGGCTCAGATTTCCAAGTTCTTGAAACTCCTATAAGGTTGCTTCAATCTGTGTCAAGGATCTCGGAACTCTCACATTAGCCTCACCCCACCTTATAGCAGCAAGATCTGACTCTTTTCATAACTTCCTCACTGACTGCAAAAGAACTATGCTCCACTAGTATGCAGACAGAAGACTCCAAGAAACAAAGGAGTCCAACAAGAAAGTATTTCTCATTGTCAGATTACTTCATAAACCAAGAAACAACCTGTCTGCCTGACACTGGCACGGAATACCGAAGACACACGTATCTGCACTGTACCAAATGACTGTTCCAGTGCACCTACGTACTGGAGTAAGCAAGTGTGCTGCAATCACCGGTAAGGCAGCCTACAAGGGAGGCACAACAGTAACTTCAAATGAAAGCAAAATATGAACTCTCAGCAATAGTTTTATTATCAATATCTACATGGGAAATAAAGAAAAACAATAATGCCGAAGATTCTAGTATTAAAGGATGACCATTTCCGTAACACGATACGGAACAAGTCTAAATAACTGTGGTATAAGCCAACCACCTAGATACCCTACTACTCTATCAACACCATCACTATAAATCATGGTTATGATAAAGTGTCTTATTTAAGCTAACAATCTAACATAATGCAGCTGTAGCATAAGCACATATGCCTTTCCATCTTGCCATTCTTCAAAGAGAAATCTTTGCCTTTAATGTCCAAACTGGAATGGGGGAAGAACAGAACGCATTTTATCAGATTTCCTCCAGACAGAAAATGAGTATTTTGATTGTATTTCTACACTAGCAGGTAAAGTATAAATTTCATTCTGAATATTCCATGTCTACAGGCTTTTTTTCTGTAGCATGATCTCAGGCCATTAGACAGCCCCTTCCAACACTGCATTGCACATTAATAGCTCAGAGAACTACAGGAGGCAACTGAACTGATATGCATATAGCAATGAACTGGGAAACAACACTGATGCTTCTGCCCAGCCATTGTTTTATGTAACTTGCCTGATACAGGTAAACTCAGCAGAAGTTAGTTCATAGCTAATAACATTGAACTCCTTCATAAAGTGCATCAAGATTTTTTCAGAGCAAACTGGCATATCAAGTATTACTGAGAATACCGAGTGCTGTGCAAATTTAACTGCAAAAGTTCACAGAAGCACTAAGCAGCGTTGTGACTGAGTCATTCTGTACTTCTACGCTCATGTCCTCTTCTGGACTTGGGAAGAGAGACCATCTGAAATGTCCCTATTACCATGATTTTTAAGGATTCCTCTCAGATTCCATTCATGTGTTTACTGACACGCATGTACCAAAGGCTTACACTTAGCTTTGGCACTGCCTCCAGCCCATCCTCCTGCTACACACAAGATTGCATCCACCTTTTCTTCACCAAGGAGTTTTCCAACCTCTGCTGTCACCTACAGTACACAGAACAAAGATGCATGGGAAATGCTGGATGAGTAAGGCACAGAAGTAAATGTCAAGACTGACCCTCTTTTTAGCCAAGTAACACAACACACAGCAATTGAAATAACTGTATAAAATTAACATTTATGATCCATATGAACTCAAAGTAATTGTGTTGAAAGACAACTACAGATGAAAGTCAGCCCAAAGAAGGTCAGATTGTACAGTGCATGATAGTACCGGAAATAACTGATTTTAGCTGGACTGAAAGATCTGACCCTGACCCATATCATTAACAGTTTTTATTTGTGACTTACTTTTTGACAGGTTCTTCTCTGGGTATGGTGCTGCTTAACATTGAAAATGAAACTCCAGGTCTGAGCAGGACTACAGGTGTCACTTTTGATGACAGTGCAAGAAACGAACAACTGAAAATTAGCCTTTTTATTGCTTCTATCTAGACTACAACCATCAGTTCAAGTCTGGCCCCTAAATTTATATTTGTATACTTTTAAATATCCAGTATATTTTTCAATTTCAAATACAAGACTTCACAGTTGGCAATGTGTTGCCTACCAATTTTCTCTGCCAAAGTGAAAAGCACACAACCTGTCTCTCAACAAAGACAAACATCCGCTGGTTTTCACAACAGCTGAGCATTGAAAAATACGTTACAAACTCATTATTCTTCAACAGCCTTAAGAATTAGTACACATAAAGAAAACACTGGCTAATGATTCAGTTTATTAACAAGAAAAATAGAGTCAAAAGTTACAAATTAAAAACTAAATCCCATCCCTTGAGAATGAAGCAGAACAGTTTTTAGGCTAGCTTGGATTCTCCCATATTCACCTTTGTGGAAACCAGAGTATTCTCTACATATCCCATCGGGGCATAGAGCTTGCATGCTTTGAGTACACTTCTTACCTACAAACTATGTATTTAAGATTTAGGACATTCGAGAGAAGTGTTGTTGCATTTTAAGGTGTCCAAATTCATCTTCGTTATACTCACCTGATTCAGCCTGCGACTTTTCAAGTCGCCAAGAGAAAAGTAACACAAAATTGCATTAGGTGCTGAACCTCCAAAATCTCACCTCAAGCTCTTTCTGCATATTCATGCATGCAATTAAATTACAAATAATAAAGAAGGAAACAGTGACAAGGAGATGTGATGATCTTCGGGTTGAGGGCACCGCCACCGGTAAGCTCCTTTGCCCACAGCAGCTGCTTCTTGCCCGAATCCGGACCCATCCCTGCAGCCGCCTCCTGCCTGCGGCCGCAGCACTGGCAAGACCGCAGGGGCGAGAGCACGAAGGAGCGGCTGGCCGCCCCCCTCCACCGCCTCAGGCCGCCCCGCGCCAACCCACCTGCTCAGCATGCTCGGGGAAAGAGTCGGTCATCCTCACCACCACGCTGGCGCTGGCGTCCTCGTTCTCCGCCAGGTCGATGCTGGCCACCCACTGCAGAGAGCAGCGCGTTAGCCCCCGGCCGCCGAACCGCCTCACGCTGCCCCTCGATCGGGAGCGCTCCCCGCCTCGCCACCTCCCGCCCGGCCGGAGCTTACCCAGTCCCTGGACTTGAGGTACCGCACGCACTGGGACCCCAGCGCGCCTCTACCCCCGTACACCAGCACCCTGCCCGCCGCGGCCATGCTCGCTGCCAGCCCAGCCCAACCCGCCCCACTCTAGCTCCAGCACTACTTCGCTGCCCAGCACTTCGGCTGGGTGGCCGGCCAGCCCCGCCTGCGCATGGGGGCTGCCCCCGCGGGGGGCGGGTGCAAGGCGACAGCGCCCGACTCCGGTAGCAGTGGCGGGGCAGAAGGGGGCGGAACGTCCTCCTTCTGCTGCAGTTCCGGGGCAAGGGGGAGGAGCAGTCGCGGGGTCTTGGCCGAGCCGTAGCTGGGGTTTGGGTGGTGCAGCGGGGAGAGTTTTACCTCAGGAAATTCCGCACCCTTGCGGCGGTGGTGTTGAGGGGTCGGCACCTATCTGTAGGCATCCACCCTCACAGCTCCCCCAGCCAAGGCGACAGACCGTGTTACCGCCAGGATTAATTGATTGATTGATTGATTGATTGATTAATTAATTAATTAGCGGTTACAGAGGTCCCTGTAGGGCTGAAGTAGCGGTAACAGTAGAAGTGCAGGCAATTACAGGCAGGTTTGTTCAGCACCCGTGGGTCGCGCCTGTAGTTTGGATTACGCCGTTTAGCTCAGTCCCTCGGGCGGCAGGAACCGCATGTGTTCGGAGGGTCCGTATGCAGCACGTCGGGGAGCACCGGTGATGTGCCTCCTTCGGCTGGCAGGCCGAGATGGGATGGCTCCGTTCCGAGCCGAGCTGCACCGCCCCGGCGGCACTGACATGCACAGGCGGGTGGGAGTGAGCAGGGGGGCTCCCTACCGCTCAGGAGCCCGGAGAACCCAGCTGCCAAATCGCCTGGTTTAATGCTTGGCTCCCCGCACACAGCTACTTACCCACGTTTAACAATCTAAAAAACCGGATTCTGCTCCTCATTTTCTTCCCATGAGGTTACAGTAAAGAACTTGATGTCATTTGAGCAGGACAATTAAACCGCTGATGAAACCTTAGCCAGCCAATAGATATAGGATTACTTTCCACAGAAACAAGCATCGCCTCTCTACAGTATAACAAAGCTGTTCCTTGCAACTATTTCAGGATGTTATCGCAGCAAAATACATTGTTCATTTGATTTTTAACTGTACTGATTAATTTCTGGAGCTTCAAAGTACAATGAGATGTATTTTGAAGAACCTGCTCTTCATCTGTGAATTTTGGAGCATGAGAAAGAACGGAGACGTGCCTGCTGTACAGAGGCCTTGGTGATGATTCCTTGAAAACACTAGGATGCCTGGCTGCTTCAAAAAGACTTTATTTGCCTTGGCTTCCCTAGTAAGTTTTGTGTCTTTTATCCTGATTGTTGCTGCAATGGGGACCCCAAAGTGGATGACTGGGAAGATCCTTTGCAAAACAGGAGCTGATTTGGTCAATGCCACAGATCCAGAGCTGGTCAAGTTCATTGGAGAAATTTACTATGGACTCTTCCAGGGCGGCAAAATTCGGCAGTGTGGGTTGGGCGGGCGGCGCTCCCAGTTCACAAGTAAGTACAAGTTTGGTTGAATCTTTACTCTGATGTCACGTTCAACTTTAAAAACATCTTTTGTTTAAAGACCTCATAGAATGCAAATCACTATTATTAAATTTGTATTTGTGGCTGACTTGTGTTTTTTTATGGTTTGGGATCTGAGTGCAAATGTAAAATATCTATCATTTTGGGCTTTTTTTCTACCAGTTGTGTTCTGTTATATCCTGAAATAAAGACATGGAGGTGGGGGAGGGAAATCCCTAAGGCTAGATTGAGGGTTTCCTGTTGGTCTTGTGAAGGGAGTGAAAGTCATTTGGAGATGACCCTGTAAATTACACCTTCCCCTTGACTGACTCTTTCCTATGCCAAGTGTTGCTCTACAATCTCTCTATGCCTCTGTCCTCACCTTCTCTGTTGAACTCCTTAACCTTTTTATTCCTTTAAGAAGCAGAGATCTATTTAGCTGGCCAGATTTCTGCATTTCTCTAGCTTTCCTAATGCAGCTGCCTGCCACAGCAGACACTCCTAACTTTATTAATGTGTTGAAGACATTTTTACCTTTTTTCCTTGTAACTTTGGAGAAAAAAAAAAACAAAACACTGAACTCTTGAATACATTTGTAAGAATTTCTACTTTTTTTTTTTAACTTAAAAGATTTTCTTGAGATCTCAAAACCACTCAGACACTGATACGTACTTTGGGTGATTACCCAGTTTTTGCACATCATGTACTACAGTGAAAATGTTATTTTGCATTAATGATTTTCTGTTCAGTGTGTGGATCCACCGTGACTTAAACCGATACAAGTTGAAGCTGCTGCAGCCTCATCCTCTCTGTAGCCCACAGGAATGCTGTCCTGCCCAGTCCTTTGCAATGGCTCTGGGAGTTGTTGCAGTGAAGTTGGTTAGGAAGTTAAGCTGGCAAAAAAATGAACATACCAAAAAACCCATTAGTTTCCCATAGGATCATGGCTGACTACACAACTGCACAGCACCGCTCTAAAAACTCAAAGGCAGGCAGGACTGTGGGACTTAAGAGGAATGAAGAGAATCAGAGCAACCTTAACTTGGATCAGTTGTTGAGATGAATGTGGACTAGTCACTTTTTACAATAACCAAGTCTTGCTCAAGCTCTGACTGCAGCTGCAACTTCATTACATGGGCAGAGCAGTCACACTCAATTACTTTGTCCAGTGAATTTGAATGGCTGGCAGACCAGCCATCAGGTCAATCCTCTTCCAGCTCTGCTCTGCTCCTTTGAGGCATTCAGAAATACCATACCAGTTCTCTCACCCTATCCTGTCAGAGAGAATGAGGAAAAAGTAGGCAGTCTCCTTTAATCTCTGTACAGCTTTCTGGACTCTTTAATAAACTTTCTAATTAATTAATTACTAATTAATTCTACAGCAGAGATAAAGACATTAACACAAGTAGATAAATTAAGCAGGACTTAAGCCTGTCCTTATTCACAGACCTTTGTAAAGGATATTCCTGTAGTAGAATATCCCTAGTTTGTGTGATGTAGTGACAAAGCATCATGAACTAAGGTGTGTGTAATTACCTGAATTGATCACCTCTGTAAAAGATGGTCTTGTTTCAGTATAATTTAAGTCTGTAGCACCAGCACAGTGTGATATTTACTGTTGTCAAGAAAAAACACACACTGACTAGATGACGTTTTCTTTCCTTGACAGTTTTCCCACACATGGTGAAAAAGCTGAATACAGGCCTGCACGTGATCATTATAATGTTCCTCTGTGTGGCCATTTCCTTTTCTCTGGTCAGTTTTGGATTCTGCATTCTTAACACAATAAAAGTTCCTTACCGGGCTATTAAAGGTCCAGCAGGAGTTTGCCTTTGGAACTTCATTGCAGGTAACAGCATTTACCAGTAGCTTTTACCAGTCACATTCATACACAATGTTAAATGTCCCTTATCTTGCCTTACTGAATATTTCCTTGACTTAAATACTTGTGAATAAAATGAAGGTAGCAGTGAATTCGCATCTGTCACCTTTTTACAGGAGCTGTGAATGCCAGTCCTTAGGCTCTGTCTGTACCATTGAAGGAAGGACTTTATTACCAACACTGGTACAACATTTGGCCATACAATAAAAACTAAGCATTTTGAAGGTGTTTAAGCCATACCTAAACCCACCCCTATTCTGTATCACACCCACTGTTGTATTCAATAAGTCTTCTGAAGCCCAACCATAATCTGCCTTGTTTCATTTCATTGCAGGTGGATTTCTAGTACTTGCAGTCACCAGCTTTATGGCTGCTGTGAAACTTCACCACCTCACAGAAAGAATTGCCAGTTTTCGGGAAAATGTCTTTCAATTCGTTGTCTTAGAAGAAAGGTTTGAAGACTCTTTTTGGCTTTGTGTGGCAAGTGCCACAGCACATGCAGTGAATTTGCTGCTAATAGCCATTAGTGGGATTCATTTTCCTAAAATTAAGACTAAAACAGAAGAAGCAAATGTTACAGCAGAAGATATCATGTACTAATAAATCTACACAGAACTACTTTGGTCAAGTGAACTGTCACAACACAAAACAACTGCTTGGCTCTTCAGCTTTTGATTTGGATGGATGATTTTTGTATAAACATGCGTAAATATGATATTCTGCTGTACCAGCAATTAACATATGTTGGAAGGTGGGAATAACAAATGCAGTTACCATTGTTCTCCAAATTGACTGATACATGTAGTGAATACACACTGCTCACAGGTTTCTGAAAATTTGCATTTTGAGATATTTTAGAAAACTCAACTGAAATACAATTTCATTGAAACCCAGTGTCTTCTTTCTTTAGAAAGAAAGTATGTGTATCACAAACCTTTGATACTCTAAGTTTATTTCAAAACAGGAAGAATGGACATCTACCAGTTAATTTCACAGAATTACCTGGAAAACATTGTGAGGGCTGTGTGAAATATGTTTGGTGATGTTATAGCACATTGAAAAAGAACACTTCATCATCTCTAAAGCTAAAATTAAGGAGAAGCACAGGCTAAGTATGTGTGAAATGTTTCAACTGAAATTATCAAACCCCACACAGTAAAGAAGTGAGAAAAGTAAGGTTCATGGGGTGCTTGTGGACTATGAAATAAAATGTATTAGCTGCAAAATGAAGGTTTCATCGCAGCTTCTGGGAGTAAAGTAAACAGAATCAAAGTAACTGCTTTTCGATAACTGGGAAAATGATAATCTGACCCATCAGTTGTCTTCGGAACCCTTTCAGTTCTTATGTCTGTATGAAATCAAGTAAAAGTGATGTATGGTGAAACAGTATTAAAATGAATTTAAACGGTTAAATGGGTGGAAAAGTTACTTAGGGCGTACCATAACTTTGACAAGCATTCAACCAGTCTTGACTCACAAGTAATGAGTATTTCAGAGAAAAGAATATGCCATTAAGCACGTCAATTTTAGAATAAGGTAGAAGGAGTGATTCCTAGTTTATAACACTCCCCTACTTCACTGTTTTTCTGACTCTGCTGGTGCTTTCACTCAGTCTTTACCCTGCGCCATGACTCCGGGAAGATGGTGTGATACCGGATGGGCAGCAAACCAACCCAGTCTGTGAAGGTGCGTTAGTTGGTACACGTACGTTAGCACAGTACACGTACATTTTAATCTTCAGTATGCATACCGGGACAGTTAGTGTCTGTGACAAGCCCACAAGCGACGCTGTGGCACACTCCCCTGGAGCACACAGCAGGAGGGCAAACATCCCCTGTGGGACCGATCCCCATCCCTTGCGGTGCACAGCCCTGCGCACACCTAGACCCCGAAACACTGCTCGTGTCCCCGCAGACACCGACCGGTGACCGACCCTCGCCTCCCGGCTCCGTCCCGACCTCCCCTCGCCTGGCCCCGCCCCGCTCGGCGCCGGCTGATGAAGCGACTGGCGCGCGGCGGCAGGCGGTGTGCGGCGGCCCGGCATGTTGCCGTCTGCCATGCTGCTGCCGGGCGTGCGGAGCGCGGCCCGCCGCCTCGGCCGGGACCTCCCGCTGGCCTGCAGGGGCTGCAGCCGCGCCGCGGGCGGAAAGGTGAGGGGGCACAGGGACCCCCCCTTGCCCGGGGTGACCCAAGGCGGGAGCGGGCAGCCATGACGCGAGGTGCCCCTTCCTCCCTCCCTCCTGCTGTTCCGGAGCCGTGGCTGAGCGTGCCGGTCGCCCAGCGCTTCCCAGGTCCAGCCCCGGGCTTTAGCTCGAAAACCTGCGGTGCCGAGGTGGTCGCCTTGCCCTGCGGGGCCGGCCCGCGGGAGAGGAGCTGCTGTTCCCTCCAGTTGGGTGAACCTCGCTGGAGAGCTATGATTGGGGGAGCTGCTCTTTTGTACTTTTAATCACAGGTTGAAACAGGTTTTGTTTTCTACGTGGTAGGCAATATGATTGTGTCTTTAGTTATACCGTGCCTGTTTTTCACGCTTCGAAGTACTGGTTGTGGTTACCTGGTTTACCAAAGAGTTGCGCTGTGCATCGTTGGATAAATACATAAACTGAGTATATGCAGTAGCTATGATGCAAACAGTGTGCTTGCTGCCTTTTAGATGGGTCGTTAAATTTCATGTTGTTTACATCCTTGTGTATCCTTTCTTAGGGTCTTGTTCTGGGGATCTATTCAAGTGAAAAGGATGGAGGTACTGCCCAGCTCACTAGTGCAGGAGATGCTTTTGATAGACTTGTGTCTGGAAGGCTGAGAGAACTTGTGTCCACGTAAGTGCGTGATCAGCTGCTGAAATTACGTACCTACAAACACCAATAGGAGCAGTCTTTTTTATAGTTATTAAGTGTTTTTATCCACAGCACTTCCCAGGCTGGTATTTGCTTCTACCAGGCCAAGCAATTTGGAAGGGAACTCCTGTGGAAAAACTGAGCGCTAAGGAAATGTGCAAAATGTTCATAGGAACTGCCTTTTTCTGTGGATTGGCACCAAGCCAAGTGTCCCAGAACTGTTGAGAAACACTGTGGGGTGTGGGGTGAATGTAGTATTGTAACAACTGCATAAAGGACTTTTTTATTGAAAGAATCTTTTTGTGTCCTAGATGTGGACCACCTTTGAAGAAAGGAAAAACACGCATATTCCATGGTTTGCATCAGGTACTAACTTTGGATTTTTGTGTATATATTGACTAATGTGTGAGGTTTGCCCTTGCATCTTACTTTAAGCCATTCGCTGTTGTGCTTGTATAAATGCTCTGCTTTTCTTCCCCCTCACACCTCTCAACAAAAGGTGTCGTTCTTGTGGGGCATTGCAGAACAGGAGCTTTCAACATTTGCATGGCCATTTTCGTATTCCTATGTTCCCTGCACTGTGCTGTAGGTTGAGAAGATGTAAATGAATCTGCTCCAAAGGTGGTGTGCTCTGAATAACTGCTTACTGAATGAGCTGAATGAAACACAGCAGTTCTGGATCTGGCTCCTACTGTGCAGGAGGAGCAAGTGTGTGTACTGGAATGTGCAAAGACCTTCCAGACATGACAATTCTAACACAAGGTAGTCCCGTCAGACTGCATGCTGTTTATAAGGCAAGCATTTAGTCTGCTGCATTGCATTGCTTTCCTGAGTTCTGGGGCTATGTACCTCTGTGCAGCTTTGGTTTGTAACCTGGCAAATCATGCCAGCTCAACTCTTGAGCTGAGGTGATAGGCTTAGCCTTGGAGGTGATTTTATTTCCCTGAGCAGAGTAGTAGCGTACCAAAAAAGGTTACGCTTCTCCAGCTAAGTTCTGGCCTGTGTTTTAGCTGGAAAGCTGGATCTGCTTTCAAAGGACTCTTAGACTTGCCCTTAGAAATATCAGGTTTGCTGTGTGTTGAACATAAAGCCCTATCTGCTGCAATACACAGGGTTGTTAACTGGACAGAAGAACTGGTTGCATGCCTGTGGCAAATGATGAGGAGTGTAACACGGTGGCACAGTGCTGGCACTCTTAATGAGGAAATGTATGTAACAAAGTACTGAAGGTGTTTAGTACTTGGTCTAGCAAGTAAGGTCTTTTTAGCAACTCTGCTGTGGCTGTACCAATGAGGGAAGTGAATCCATTTGTGTGTTGGCTTCATCTAGGACTTTCCAAGTGTGGTTGTAGTTGGCTTGGGCAAGAAGAATGCTGGAATAAATGACCAAGAAAACTGGAATGAAGGCAAAGAAAACATTCGTGCAGCTGTTGCAGGTTGGCTCTTACATTTTCTTAAGCATTGTCTATAAAACTATTGCAGTGGTGCAGCAAGTTCCATTTTTGAAGAATGAGTCTAGGTATGATTTTGTTTTGAAATGAAAAACCTATTCTGTGGTTTGTTAAATACACTTACTTGTCACTGATACTCATGTAAATTTTTTCCTTAGTGAGAAAGGAGTTACAGGGCATGTAAATCCATCTGCAGTCAGGTAACTGCAGTTATTGAAATCAAATAACTTTCCTGAGCAGTGTGAAAAGGCACTTGTTTAATCACTGCTGTTGTGAAGCCCAAGAGCACCACCAATTCACGTTATGCTCACACTGTTCTTCAGTATGCATACATAATCACTTTTGTTACCCATTTTGTAACAGATACTTGTACTATAAACTGGTGTCTTTCAGAACATCAGTAGGATGATTCAGTATGTTACCTGTTATAGACAGAGGAGGCCTCTATCTTAATCAAGGATGACTGCTGTATCTAAGTGTATAAACCAAGAATAAAAAGAGTTCTTGCCACAGAGTTTATTATCTATGACAGGCGGTCAGTCACATGTATGACAGATGTATACCCACCCATGAGTGCTAGCTCATCTTGTCTTAACAGCTGCCAAAACATTGTGAAGTTATTTGGGTACAAAGTAGAATTTATGGAACTTAATATTATTTTTGTTTATAAAAGTGTGTATAAAGTCATTTGGAAGAAAAGAGAAAAAAAACTAAATTACAACAATTTTCTGATACCTGCAGATAATTGCAGATAGTTATAATCCGCAGGACTAGAGGAAGATGGAGTTTTTCTTTGCTATAGATTGAGTTTAAAGGAATTGGAACAACTGTGGACTTTTTTCTTGTGAATTGTCTTAATCATTATAATCTGTCAAGTGGTATTTTAGTTGAAATTTATCAGTATATGATCATTGCATTTTTAATCATTCTACTGAATGATCTTTGTAATTGATTTACCCATCAACTTGGATATTTTGAGTTAAAATTATTTTTCCCTTTAAATGTCATATTGATTACCACAGAGACCTGTTTTGCTGTTCTGTGCAATACTCAGCCCACTAGTTCCATACTGTGTTTTTCAGTTGGCTGTAGACAGATCCAAGATCTGGAGATCGCTTGTGTTGAAGTAGACCCCTGTGGAGATGCTCAAGCAGCTGCAGAAGGTGCTGTCCTTGGATTGCATGAATATAATGAGCTGAAGCAAAAAAAGAAGCCTGTAGTTACTCCTCAGCTTCATGGAAGGTGATGACAAAAGGAAAGCTGGTTTTATTTATTTATAAAACCGTGCATGTTTATGCATGAGAAAAACACAAACCTGGAAGAATAGGGAGAATAGAAGTTAGTGAAATAAAATGCCCTCTCAATTTAAGCGTGTCTTGGTAAGCTACATGCAACTCTTCCCATTTGTAATGCAGCAGATAGTTTGGGAGACAGTTTATAGTAAATAAACATTTCCTGAAAGCATAGGTGGTCCTATGACCACTTAGG